ACATGGGTCTGGTGCATGCAAAGCAAACATTCTACCCACTGTATTATCGTTTTAGCCCGGGCAATGCGTTTTTATAGCACTGGAGTCTTCATTAATTTATTCAAGCGATTGTAGACAAGGTAGGTATTTTTAAGTTTTGCTAATGATGCCTACATTCTTTCCAAGTTGAACACAATTAATTAATTACATTACAAAATGTTACCAAGTCAAATGTATGGTTGTGTATTGTATTAATTACTAACCTGCTTAGTTTCATCCAAATTAAAGGAGAAACAATTGGCATTAATTTCTATAAGAATAAGTATATCTAGAGTTCATAATCAGATAAACCATAATCACCTGCTTATCTAGATAATGTTGAACACAGAATATCTTTATTACTAAATATAAGAAAAATATTTATGTGAAAAAGTGTTAACTTAATTGAAGTCTAATCAACACAATCATTACTATTTAAGGATTTATCTAATATATAAAATAATACATTTAGCTTATCATACCACCATTCTTGTAAGCATCAAATTATGTTGGATATTTAGGAGGAGAGAGAAAACAAAAGGGAATGCCCTGCCACAGTGGCAGGGGGGGGATGGGGGGATGGGAGGATGCGGGGGGGGAGGGATATTATCCTGGTGGTGGAAAATGGGCACTGGTGGAGGGATGGGTATTTGATCGTGGTATGACCTAGATCCAAACACAAAAATTTGTAAATCTACAACTGTACCTCATGGTGTTTCACTAATAAAAATAAATTTTAAAAAAATTATGTTGGATATTTAATTACTTCATATGATAGATAATGTGGTATAGAGGAAAGACCGTGGTGGAAAGATTGCTTTAATACCAGAAACCTGGAGTATGAAAGCCTTTATTAAAGGCATTATTAAAGGCATTAAAGACTCTGAAATAATACTGTTTCATTAAAAATTATTATTAATAATAATCATTATTCTTTTATTGAATATTTTTCATTTAATAATAAAATATTTTTTCTAAAATAATTATTTCATTGTTACTCTTAAATATTATTTAGTAATAAAGATATTCTGTGTTAAATATTATCTAGACTCTGACATTTTTATTACCTAATGTTCAGACTACATATAATAATCTTATCATATGGAACTGTTAAAAATGATTTGCGTGAGAAAATAAAATGGAAGTACAGAAGCTCACTGAACTTTATGCTCTTCTCTTTCTTTCACTTACCTAAGAAAATAAACCAAAGTACATGAATATAATCCATGTTTTGAGATTTTTAGTATATTGTCACAGTTTTCCTTTGGATATTCTAACAATCCTGCTCTATTTGTGATTTGCTTCTCTAAGGCTATAAAGACACTGGGAGAAAGGTGATGGACTATTTCAGCTATTCACACTGTGAAATCTACAATAGAAGTGATAACAAGCTTTCTTTGATTACTTTATTAGGAACTAAATCTTGCCTCTGCCACTGGCAGTGTGATCTTTGTGCTTAGATTCCTCCAGCAAAAGGTTGAAAGGAGGGAACTGCAAGGAACATTTAGCTCTGTAATTCTGTGAACTCTACCAAATTCTATTCTGCTTTGAAACAGCAGCAATTCAGAGGTTTCACAGAGAAGAATAATTTTGCCCTTGTTACCAAAAGTGCAGAATTTTAAAGAGAAGGACAGAGAAAATTGAACTGAAGAAGCAGTAAGCAGCATTTGCCAGCTTTGCACTGGTTGGAATATGAGAACCCGGAAATTAATTACTTCTCTTTTCCTCTTGCAGCACTTCTCATCTGGGCTCTATTTCCTGCCCCTCCCCCTCCACCCCCCCATCCTTGTCCTTTTCCAAAATATATTTATACCTTTTCCTAAATTAAAGATATTTTTCAAATGTTTAAAAAGAATATCCTTATTCCTTCTATAACTGGCTATTTAGACCTGTTTATCTTGAAGTTAATGTATTCATAAAGGACTTTTCCGTCTAGAATTTATTGGCTCTAGAATGGTGAGTTAATATTTTAGGTCTTTTTTCTTTGCTTTTTGGGTCACACCCAGCGATGCACAAGCATTACTCCTGGCTCTGCACTCATGAATTGTTTCTGACGGTGCTCAGGGGACCATATGGGATGCTGGGAATCGAACTGTGGTCAGCCGCATGCAAGGCAAACACCCTATCCGCTGTACTATCATCCCATGCCCCCCCCCCACTCCTGCAGTGGATTTATTCTTAATTTATTATTTTTTCTTTTTTGTTTTGGGGTCATACCAACAGTGCTCAGGAATTACTCTCAGCTCTATGCATGAGATCACTCCTCTGGACCACACAGTGCGGGGATTGAACTCACCTACTGCCCACTTAAAGCTTGTAATCAGTTCATTGATTTCTCTCTCCAAGCTCTATTCCCAATTTCTAACAAAGTTCCAGCTGTTACTACTAGCCTTTTGGATAGCAATGATTGGAGTTGGCTACAAATTAAAGTAACCCTAACTTTAAAACATATAAAAGGTAATTTCATTCATATATTTACTGAAACTTTCCCAAAATTAATTCTTTAAGGACTAACATTCTCAGTCAACTGTGAACAATTATTATATAAAATATGCATAATTATTTTCTCATTTCACTTCTTACTCTGTGATTCATATTTCTCTTATTTGGCAATTTGTAATGGGGATTTAAAATGTTAAATTTAGACAATGTGTTTTTGTACTTTCGTACAAAAGTACTTTCAGAACGAAAGTACAAAAACACAAGAAAATAAAATTAAACAGTGATCTCTAATTATTAAGATGATAAAATTTTTATTAAAATCTGAATATTTATAGAACATTATGAACTTCTGTGTGTTTACAATGCACAAAAATCACAGTGTTCTAAGATAATGCAGTAAGAACCACTTGTTATTCAAAATAGCAAATTTACCAAAAAAATTCCTTTTTGTCTTAGAGAAAGCTACACACTTTTATTTTTTCAAAGGCTTTCGGTATTCAATAATATTACTGCTGACTGATAAAAATTATGTCTAATTACCAACAGTAGTGAATGGATTTAAATTATGACTGTAGAAACCCTTGTCCACTAAAATTCTTAGGTAAGTTTAGAAATTAAAAGTGGTATTTAAATTCAACATTGCATTTTTTTTATTTTGGAGGAAGCAGGGGCACACCCAGCAATGCTCAAGGGTTACTCTAGGCTCTGTACTCAGGAATCACTACTGGTGGTGCTTGGGGGACTATACAGGATGCTGGATTTCGAACCCAGGTTGGAAATGTGTAAGATACATGCTCTACCTACTGTACTATTGCTGTGGCTCCAGCACATCATTCTTCTTTTGTTTTGTCTTGGGGCCACATTCAGCAGTGCTCAGGGCTTACTCCTGGCTGTGCAATCAGGGATCACTCCTGGCAGGGTCAGGGACCATATGTGGTGCAGGGGATTAAACCAAGTTGGCCACCTACAAGGCAAGGGCCCTACCCACTGAACTATTTATATGGCCAAGATTACATCTTCTTATGAAAAACACAATGTATACTAATTTCTCTTTCTCTATTTTTTTTGTAAATATATGCTCTATTTACCATTCTTAAGAGAAGCTCAGTAAAGCTCTGGGTTCTTGGTGAAAACTAAAGAATGACAAAATTTTACTTAAAATATTACTTTTAAAATATAAGTATATATTGTTAAATTCAGGATTTCTTTCTTTATGACAATACATTTAACTGTCATTTCTTTCTTATACAAATGAGAAGCCTAAACATTCAGAATTACCCAGATGTATTCTTAGAGACAATCTCCTTTGTATGCTTCATATAAAGAGTGACAATAATAGGTAATAGCTAAATAGAAGGGAAAAGGTTATTAAATAATGGTAACTGGATTCTACTAGAAGGTGCTAGTCATTACTACGACCCAGAAGAAGAATATTAGTGTCCAAAGAGGTGGGGATACTTTATAAATTTTCATTGTAAAATTTTAACACCAGTTTCAAGTAATGTAAGAATTAAATACATAATAAACTCATATTCCTTATATTATAGTTCAGAAACTATAATATCATGCAATTTAAAGTGGGATTCAAAAAGTTTATTTTTTAAAAAAAGCCTAGTAAATTATTAGTAATAGTTTCTAAAATGATACCTTTAATTATTATTTAAGACTTACACGGAAGATTGCTATTGTGAAATTAATTTATTACTAACATTATATATACAGTAGGAATTCAATTTACATCTTTATCTTATCTTCAATAAGTCATCAACCATTTAATAATGAGGAAAATAAAACCACGATGTCCAAAGAATTTGCTAAGCAAAGAGAACTGAAAGAAATAAAGCTATTTCAGGGCAACTTCCTAAAGCGGAGAAAAAGATTTCTTTTTTATTAGCTCCATCTGATGGTTGTTCAGCTTTTTACACACTCCCTGCCTGGCTATAAATCCCTATTAGAAATTGTATTGTTTTCTCTTCCTCTTTTCTATTAGACACACTGCTATAGAGTAGAAACTGCTTAACTCATTATATGTGCACTTTGTTAATTTAATTTGGAAAAAAATTTTTTGTAAAGATCATTCATATAGATCTTGCTAGCTTTCTTCTCTTTAAGTGAAATGCATAATTTCCACAACTATAATTCAAACTTTAAAATTTGAAATTATTGTGCAATTTCCTTTAATGTCTATTTTTATACATACCTACCTCCTAAATAAGTTGGATTGTCCCTTCACTAATTTGTGTTGAGCATTTGTCTTGTGATACTAAATTTAAGTATATAAAATTATTTTTATTAGCCATTGTCTTTTTTATACTAATTCAATAAAATGTTTAGCAATAGATTTTACTAAATAACTCTGCAAAATATATCCTATTCTAATCATGATATAAGCACATGCATGCTTAAACATACACTTCTTAGCATGCAAAAAAATCACTTAGGACTTCAATGCATTTCAAATATATATATATATATATATATATATATATATATATGTGAGGTTAGGCAGTAAAATTAGTAAGTTAAGGAAAATACTATACCTCAGCATCATATTCCCATAACTGATTTCCTCTCATATGGTGGCATTTTAACATGATTACAGGTCCATTAAGTCTGGAAACATCCAAGCACAAGTCATCGGTTCGGATTTCTTTGTCGGCAGTATATGAAAATACCTGAAAATATGTTTTTAAAAAGTCACAGTCAATCAGATTTATTCATGGAAATTCTCATATCAGACAAACTTGTGTTTTCCTTGATCATTGCTCTTTTGTGACTTTATTTCTCTGAGGGCCTTTCCTTAGCTAAAAGATAAGGTCAGAATCATGTTTCATAATGTTTTGGTGAAGACTCAGTATAACAAATTAAGTTCTCATTATTTGTGGGTACTACATCTCCCACGATGTACTTAATTTATAAAGCTGAGAATAGATCTGGGTCAATAAAATGTTGAAGCTGCACGAGGCTCAGAAAAGGGGAAGTGCTTATTCTGGCTGCTTTGTAACCAATCCCAAAGCTAACAACTGATATTTGTCATAAAACAGTCTATATATTTCTTTTCACAAGCACATTAAAAAGATTATTAAATACAGATAGTGGGATTTTCGGGGTTGTAGAAATTATCTTCTCTAGAAAGCTCATTAAATAAAGGTAGGCTTTTTATTATGGTTTTGACTGAATTTGACTATATTCATTCTCAAAAGTTTCATTAATTCAAACTGATACTTTAATAATATCTGGTTTTTGTTCCTGGTTTGAATTTATCTATAACATTGATTATTAAAAATGTAATAACATTATCAAGTGAATAATTATAGAAATTATTCCCTTCTGTTAGCTATGGTAGTTAAGTATTCTGTGGCTATCTGATTTTCTCTTGCAGAGTCAAGACAGAAGATTTTCAATATTTATTTTGTTTCCCTAAAGCAGTCTGGTGAAAGGGCCAGAGAGACTATAGGGGGATAAGGTGCTTTTGCACACAGCCAACCTGGGTTGGATCTATGGTCCCTCAAGCAAGGAGTTAATGTCTGAACAGAGTTCGGGGTAATTCATGAGCATCACAAGGTGTGATCCCCAAACAAAACAAAACAGAAACAGTCTGGTGAAAGCTGAGGTAGTAATTTTTATAAGTTACTTATAAACTTTGCAGTGATGCTCTGTAAACAGAACAATTCAGGCTGTGAAAATGTTGCCTTTACAGCACTTCTATATAGGACTCTGAAGAAAATCACAGAAGGAGCTTAAGAATAAGTTGCAAAGTCAATAATGGAATCCATATACCCTCAAGTTATTATCTCAGAAGACATTTCTTCACATTATACATTCTACTCAATACTATAAAGTCTCAGACATATTTATGGTTCATTTAATTGAACTGTAGGGGATACACGTATAGACTTTACATATAGAATTCAGAAAAAAAAATGCTAGGTTAACACTTTATATTTATATTTTTAAGTAAAAGGACAAGTAACCAAATTCCTATTTCTTTTATAGAAATAACAAATATAGGTATTTACATCTTCCTCAATTATGGTTCATATTTTTAAAATAATTACCAACACAATTAAATGAACAAATCAGATTGTAAAATCTGAGGGATGGAAATTTCTAGAGAAATATCTTTCCCAATTGTAAAGATATTTCAGTACTGAAGGAAAAAATTTCTATTGAAATTGCTTCTTTAACAGACACTTGATTAGTTAAGCTATATTTGCATATCAGAAATTATCTTTTGCTTTTGCACTTAAAAACATAACCAAATAGGAAATATTTGATATACAGATATTATTTCTTGAAAAATAATTTATATAATCTTATTTTCTGTCATTACTGTAAAAGAACCTTCTCCAACCAGACCCCCCATCTTCCAGTAAGTAGGTGTCACACCCACCAGCTGCTGCCAGCACCAAGTTGGTCCCATCAATGGCTAAGACGCAGAAACTATAAAAATCAACTCCCAGAGAACAGCATGGAGTTTCCTGCCCCCACGCCTGGCTGTCCTCACCGGGCCCCTTGGAGGGAGGAGGGTTGAGTTTTTCTGCCCCCCTCCCAGAGCAGAGCCCCAGCAGCTGAGGACCTCCGGAGCCAGCCATGTCCATGCTGGGACCACTCTCCACATGTCCGGATGGGCCTCATGCATGAAAGAACTGGCAGAGGAACCCAGGCATGCAGGGCCCGAGGCTGAGGCCTCCAAGTCTACTTGGATTGGGACTGGGCCTTCTCCAACCAGACCCCCCATCTTCCAATAGGTAGGCATTACACCCACCAGCTGCCACCAGCGCCAGGTTGGTCCCATCAATGGCCAAGATGCAGAGACTATAAAATCCAGCTCCCGGAAGCACGCAGCCACATTTGCGGCCACGCGACTTCTTATTATCTTATTTTTTCCTTTGGAGAACCTGGCAGGCTACCAAAAGTATCCTGCCCACACAGCAGAGTCTGGCAAACTTCCAGTGTTGTACTCAATATGCCAAATACCAGTAACAATGATGGGTCTCATTCTCCTAATCCTGAAAGAGCATTGAAATGGCTCTTTTAAAATCTCAGGGCCAGGAAGAAGGAGACGTTACTGGTGCCTGCTCAAGGAAACAGACAAACAACAGGATGATCGTGATCGTGATCATGACTGCAAAAGAAGGATGTGGTGCCTTTTTTTTAATTTCATGCCTAAAAATCTCTCTTGCGCTCTCTCTCTCTCTCTCTCTCTCTCTCTCTCTCTCTCTCTCTCTCTCCCTCTCTCTCTCTCTCTCTTGTTTTTTGGTCACACCCAGCAGTACTGACGGCTTATTCCTGGCTCTATGCTCAGGAATCAGCCCTGGCAGGGCTAGCAGTATCATTGGGATGATGGATATCAAACCAAGGTCTTCCTGGGGCAAGGCAGTGCCCTATATGCTGGACTATGTTTAGCTTCCCCCATCTTAAAGTTTAAGTTTCTAGAACATTTAAAATAATAATGTAACCAATAATTCAGGCATGTTAGCACATACAACTTTCTTGATATTATCTAGTAGTTATTAGGTGTTATTAGGTGTGACAACAATTGTTAATCCTTTTTATCACCTTTTACCCATAATTACATCTTTGTGCTTTTTCTTATATCCTATTGTAAGAGGTTAATAAAATTCACTTTGGACTATTATGAACAAAACTTTGTAAACGAGGCTGGAGAGATAGCATGGGAGTAAGAAATCTTCCTTGCATGTGACTGACCTAGGTTCAACCCCTGGCACTTATATCATCCTCCAAGGCCACCAGGTCTAATCCCTGAGTGCACTAACAGGAGCGAGCCCTGAGCTCCACAGAGTGTGCCCCCACCTCCACCCCAAAAGATTGCTTTATAGAGAAGTAAGTACCAAGAAAGTTTTCTGTAACTGATATTCAGGTTAGTAATATCATGGTTGATGTAAATACCAGGTTGCAGCTTCATATGTAGGATTATTGCCTAATAATAATAGGTATATAGTCAATACCCAAAGACTTTTCAGACAGGAGCACAGTAGGATTTGCTCTTGACTTTGTGTCCACCTTGTTTGCCCTGCCCAAATCCCAGGGAGGGAACTGATACTTGATGACAGACTTCCCTGACACTTTCAGTGTATTGCAGCAGGAAACCAAAAATTTCTTTGACAAAACGTTTATTTTCATAGCAAGGTATATGGAGGCTGGGCCATTTGCCTTGAAAAAACATAAGAATAAAAGGCAGACTTGTTATAAAGATGTCTCTCTCACTCTATTGGGGATTCCTAATGCCTTTTCAGTGGAGACAGCGAACTGAATTTGAAGAGCTGTCATCCCTTTTGCTTACTGGGGCTTCCATGGTAACGTCCCATACTTGTCCTTCCTCTCTGCTCCAGTTCTTTTGTCTGAGCTGAGATAACTTAGGTGGGACCTGAAGCTCTAGGTGTGGGTGAGTTACTCAGTCTTAGTGGGTCTCTCCAATTTCTACAGGAGACAGACATTCTTAAACATTCTTTTGATTTTAATCTCTTCCCAATAGTCTCCTGCATAGTTAGCTATTTACCAGTCTGTGCCCTGGCAATGCAATTATTCCCTGGAATTAAAAGGTAAAGGTAAAGGCCCTCCCGTTGATCGTCGATTTGCTCGAGCGGGCCCAGTAACGTCTCCATTGGAGACTTTGTTGTTACTGTGTCTGGCATATCAAATACTCTCGGTAGCTTGCCGGGCTCTCAGAGAGGGAGAGAGGAATCGAACTCGGGTCGGCCATGTTGGCCGCTTGTAAGGCGAACGCCCTACCCGCTGTGCTATCGCTCTCTGGAATTACTTCTTACCAATTCCTTATGATATCAGGAGCTCTCTTACATCTTTTACGAGATTTGCTAAGCGACTGCTTGTTCTGGCTTTTGCCTATTGCTTATGTCATTATCCTGCATAAGGTGCGCTCAACATTGTATGTGTAAGTCCTAATAGATAACTGCTCAGTCTGATCTGCTGTGGTTAAAACCGTGTCAGACTTTAAGTTAAGATAAAGTACTTGAATCATGAAAACATATAAAGGATTTTACTTAAATTATCACATGTGTGACTGTGCAAAAGAAATTCCTGCATGAGAAAAGTCTGATTGTGGTGAATATAGTGGAAAATATTGGCATTTTGGTGATAGTTGTGGTGTAGTAACATTGCATACCTACATATACGTGTCTAAGTATAAATATTGATGCCATGCTACCTTATTATAACATTTCTGCTCTTTAACCTTAAAACACATAAAATTGTGAGATGTTAGCATTATAATCTCCCTTCATGGTACTGTTGATCACTCTGGTTCCACAAACCACACTAAAGAGATCATTTTCATGCTATAATTTTTAAGTTCTGTTGTTGTATAAGTTATGGATCTTTTGTTCCATTACATGGACCTGCTAATTATGTCTTTCACAACTCTCTGACCACTATAACAACTTAGTTTACATTGTTTCCTATCTTACTAGCTCATAGGAATGTGATAACCAACTACTGTGGATTTAACAAATAAGGTTAAAGTCCAAGATTAAGCTGCCATCAGTATGACGGCTTCTCTTCTTGACTGGTATATATCATTTTCTTCTTCGCCTTCTACTTATTTAACTCAAAGCTTATTTGTATTCTTATCACTTATTCCTACAAGGACAACAGTTCTATTAGACTCAGGATCACCCTAATGATCTCATTTTAG